CTAGTTTTTTTTAAGAACAGGGAGAATAACAGTGCAATAGAAATAGACCCAGTAGCTAATGATAATGAGATGATGAATAGGGGTAGAAATGTCAGTGACACCTCCTCAGGAGAGAGGTAGGTACAGGATCAGGCTGGCAGAAGGAAAGATTAGAATCAGCGATATGTTTAGAAATAGTACCAGGAGAAGACAATAGTAAGGGATAGGAGTAGAATAAATATGAACTATAGAAGAAGAGGCAGTGGAGAACTGCTTATATATGTTGTGGATTTTGCCCCTAAAATGGTTAAGAAAAGCATTAAACTGCTGAACTGGGAAAGAGTAAAACAAAACTTACTGAAGGTGGGAAAGAGTTTTGTAGGCTTGAAATGCAGTGTATATAGGCTTCACATAATATGGCATAATGGACATTTTAAGGAGACCACACACAGCTGTTTAAAAAAAAGACCATTGATCATAATAGCATTTAAAATACTAAAATAAAATACTAAAATAAAGACCATTAATCCAACATTGGCATTTGGCAAGTGGTCAAATTAGCTTGGTCATTGGAAAGTTGCTATGTGGTAGGTGGCTGTGGGTTTTACTAAAGTTGAAGAGTGTTTACTGCAAATATGTGAAGGCAGTGTTACAGCTGACAGATAGAACAAGTGTGGTGTGAAAGCAACCAAATAAGTGTGGAAAGGTTGTGGACATTAATTTGCAGACAGTTATAGTGGTGATATGCCTTAATGCTCATAGTGCTGTGAAAAATGTACAACCCCATTTCCAAAAAAGTTGGGACACTGTCCAGAATGTAAATAAAAATAGAACGCAATGATATGCAAATCATGTAAATCATGTTTTTAAAGGAAAATAGTACAAAAACAACATATCAAACTGAGAAATTTGATTGTTTTTTGAAAAATATTTGCCCATTTTGAATTTGATGCCAGCAACATGTTCAAAAAAAGTTGGGACAGGGGCATGTTTACCACTGTGTTTCATCACCTCTTCTTTTAACAACACTGTGTAAGCATTTGGGAACTGAGGAGTCCAGTTGCTGTAGTTGTGAAAGTGAAATGTTTGTCCTTTCTTGCTCGATACTGGATTTCAGCTGCTCAACAGTTCGGGGTCTCCTTTGTGGTATTTTTCATTTCATAATGCGCCAAATGTTCTCAGTGGTTGACAGGTCTGATCTGCAGGTAGGCCAGTGTAGCATCCGGGTTCTTTTACTACAGAGCCATGCTGCTGAAAAGAATTTAAAATTTTGATTTGTCGGACCACAGGACACTTTTTCACTTCGGCAGGGTCCATTTTAAATGAGCTTGGGCCCAGAGGAGGTGGCAGCATTTTCTGGATCCTGTTTATATATGGTTTCTTCTTTGTGTTTTTGAGTCTTAACTTGCATTTGTGGATGTAGTGACAAACTGTGTTCACAGGCAGTGGTTTTCAGAAGTGTTTATGAGCTCATGAAGCGATTTCCACTACAGAATCATGTCTGTTTTTAATGCAGTGCTGCCTGAGGGCCCAAAGATCATGGCCACAAATATTGGTTTTTGGCCTAGTTGCTTGCATACAGAGATTTCTCCAGAATCTTTTAATGATATTATGTACCATAGATGATAAAAAGCAAAAGTTCTTTGCTATTTTGTATTGAGGAATGTTATTCTTGAATTGTTGCAATATTTGCTCGCGCAGTCTTTCAGCACAGAATGGTGAACCCCTCCTCATCTTTACTTCTGAAAGACTCAGCCCCTCTGAGATGCTCTTTTTGTACCCAATTGTGTTACCAACATGTTGCCAATTTACCACCAGGTTTTTTTTTTTTTAGCATTACACAACTTTACCAGTCTTTTGTTGCCCCCGTTCCGTATTGTTGGCATCAAATTCAAAATGGCCATATAATTTAAAAAAAACAATACAAATTCTCAGTTTCAACATTTTTTATCTTTGTACTATTTTCAATGAAATATAGGGTTTAAATGATTTGCACATCATTGCACTTTGTTTTTATTTACATTTTGCACAGCATCCCAACTTTTTTGGAAATGGGGTGTTTATCCTCTCCTGATTTCTTCTATGTTTACATTTTTTGTCACATTTGATTGTTTGGGATTTATAGCAAAATTTAAAATAAGACAAAATAAACATAAAATACATTTTTTACATTATAATTTTATTTACTAAAGGAAAAAGTTATTCAACACCTAGTGGACCTTTGTGAAAAATAACTGCCCCCTTAGTTACTCAATCAAACAATTAACCAAATTTAGTTGATAACTGAGATCAGTTAAACTAGATACACCCATGGCTTGATTACTACCAGCCCTGTTGAATCTAAACTGTAATTAATAAAACCTCTACGGCTATGTGAAGTAGACTACAAGGTCTCAACAATAGGCATACTGTGCCATGATCAAAAGATATCCTGAAAGAGATGAGAAAGAAATTTAATAAAATACTTCAGTCTGGAAAGGGTTGCAAAGCCATTTCTAAGGCTCTGGGTCTCCAGCAAACCACACTGAGAGCCATTATCTCCAAATGGAGAAAGCTTGGAACAGTGGTGAATCTTCCCAGAAGTGGCTGGCCTACCAAAATTCCTCAAAGAGTACAGTGATAACTCATCCAGGAAGTCACAAAAAACCTAGACGAAGATCTAAAGACTGCAGGCCTCAGATGAGGTCAGTGTTCATTATTACACCATTTGAAAGAGACTGGGCAGAAATGGAATCCATGGGAGAGCTGCAAGGCAAAAAAACACAGTTAACCAAGAGGAACATAAAAGCTCATCTCACATTTGCCAAAAAACATTTTTATGATCCCCAAGCCTTTTGCATAATGTTCTGTGGAGTGAAGAGTTGAAAAAGGAACTTTTTGGAAGACATGGATCCCATTACATCTGGTATAAAGCAAACATTGTGTGTAGTGTGATGGTGTGTAGATGTTTTAATGCATTAGGGCCTGGGTAATTAGATAGAACCATTAATTCTGCACTCTACCACAAAAGCCTGCAGGAAAATGCTCAGTCACCAGTCCACTCGTGTGATCTGCTCAAGTGCAAGTCCGTTGTGCAGCAAGACAGCAATCCAAAACACAAGAGCAAATCCACCTCAAAAGAAGCAAAATGAAGGCTTTGTAGTGGCCTAGTTAAAGTCTTGACTGTCCTCTCATGCAATGGCAAGACCGTGAATAGGCAGCTCATGCTCAAAAATCCTCCAATGTGGTTGAATGAAAGCAATTCTGCAAAGAAGAGTGGGCCACAGTGAAGTGAGAAACTGAGCTCCAGTTATAGGAAGCATTTGACTACAGTTGCTGCTGCCAAAGTGGCCAGTCATTACATTTAGGGGGCAATTACTTTTTTACAGTTTTTAAGTGATCATTGCATTTATTGATACAGGTGATGCAAAACCTTTTTCTTTGAATAAATGAAATGATCACTAACAACTAATTCTTGTGTTCCCTCATGTTGTCCTTGCATTTTGTACAGGGATCTGAAACCATTTACTGTGACAAACAAGGGTGTTGTCTGCACATGTAAAGATCAGGGGTTCAGCCCATGTTTATTGTAGGATTGTTTTCATTGTCCTTACCTAGATTTTTTTATGAACTTATAAAATGTGCAATTTTTAATGTGAGGATCTAAACATCAACAAACTTTCAAGAATTCAGCATTCAGACCATTGACGTGTCTTACAAATCACAAACATCTAACATAAACAAAAGTGTCAAAACATAAGAAAAGCAGAACAAGAATATTGCTTGTAACCATCTGGGTCATTTTGCAAGTGAACATTTAACAGGGCCCAACAAAGGCCTCTTTTCCTCTGTAGAGCCAAATTATTCCCAGAGCTGTACATAATTGTGCCATTCCACTAGCGTTAGTCTAGCCCAGCAGGCTACAGCTCCAAACACTACAGAACAGGTTTGATTTCAGCTTTTTGCCACTACACCATCAACTACTTAGCTTTATTATATGGGAGGAAAAGATCTTGTATTGTCTACACTTGTAACAGCAGAGGAGACAGAATCAAAACTGTACTGTGGTGTTTGGGTCTGTAGGCAACAAGATAAATAGATTGGAGGAGCTGGTCAGCATTAGCCTAGCTAGAAGGCTACAGGTCCAAATGCTATAAAAGGGGTTTGATTATTATTTTAACTTGCGTCAGTGTAGTTTCAGTTAGTCAGAATCTAACCTGTTCTGTGGTGGGAAGAGCTAGTAGTAGGCAAGCTAAACTAATGTTAACCAGTGCCTCTCTTCTACTTAGGAGTGCTGTTTAGTGTTTAGCAATTTGTGCTAGATTGATGATTTATTATTATTGGATGTTGGATTGAAAATCACACACTGCTTTCATTCATTTGGAGACACTTGTGTAAGTGAACTGAACTTACCTGATTGTTTCCGCATGAGGGCTGATTTTTTACATACAACATTGGACTCACTGGAAGGTATGAATCTGGAACTGGCTGACAGAACAGGCAGTGCTCTAAAGTTTGTTACTTTTTTTGGAATTACTGATGTAGCAATTTCTGTACGTAGATCCTGTGAAGATGGACAGCAGTGGCATGAACTACAAAAAAAAGGAGGCACTAAGACAAGAATGACAAAGTTAGGAGGATGAGGACATATCTGAGCAGGAGTGCAGTGAGAGATGCTGACCTTAACTTACATACCTAGCATATTGACTGTCATGTGTCATGTTTGTGATATTTAAGATAAAGGTTTTCACCAGGTTTCATTGTATCACCAGCTAACAACATCAGTTATGTCAGTGTAGCACATAAATAATAAACAAGATTAAGAAATGAAGAAGAAATGTGCTGATTTTAGAAAAATTTGCACAAAGGCAATGATGTGTGTAAGAACTGGTCAGTAACCTGTGCCTCAACTCAGTTTTAGGTCATGATGTGTGGGTTAAGAAATGCTGAACATTTAGCACTTTTTTTTAGCAAGAACTGCTCTGAATGTGTGAGATGCAAAGGTGCAAAACAGGAGCCAACTGAGGCATCACTATAAAAGCCTGAGCTTTTGTGCACTTGCCTCATTGAAGCTTGAGATCTTTCTCCACAGGTTCAGTGAAAGTCATTAAAAAGGTAAGAAGTGAACATGCCATCATTTCTAAAGTATCAGGTAGGGGTGTAACGATACTCTCAGCCCACAGTTTGATGAGATTTTCACAATAATATGACTGTATTTATGTTATTGCACTTCTTATTTATGAGACAAGAGCTGAGAAGCGTAATATGACAAGTATGTGCCAGTGCTGGTGGTTGATTGGTCCTGGTTGTTTGCAAAGTTTAGTGTTCAAACAATGCAGTTGCATTAGATGGCATAATTAATAGAATGTCCATTTTCTATGATGCCACGTTTTTTGCGTATCACAATGTCACAGTGCAAATATTGGGCCAATGTAAAGTCAGTAAAATACTTATCTCATTCATATTAGGTGTATACCCAGCTAGCAGGAAACGTTCACATAACTTTGGCTGATGTTACCTACAAGTTTTAATTATGTTTAAAGAAAACCTTTAATATAATGTGCAAAGAATAAGGTTACCTGTTACCTAAAACATAACGTTTTAACTGCAACATTCAGAGGATGTTTTTAGGGTGTTGTCAGGGCCACAGATTATGCTACATGAGGATGAAACATGTATGTAAAATTCTCAGAACAATTTTAAAACAAAACATTGCTAGCTGGCTAAATGTATGTATGTGTACTGCTGTGTAATCTAGCAGTTAAGGAGTTTTTTTGGCAAATGAAAAGACAAATGAGTGTCAAATGTTACCTTTTAGTTTTAGGTTTCCTTAGCATATGTATGTTATAATTTTACAGTAGAGGCACTTTTTGTGTCCAAGCAACTCGTTTCAAGTACTTCATTTTGAATAACAAGTTTCCATCAGTTTGAATTGTGCTCCAGTACAGTTGGATACATTTAGACTGCATCACTGGAACACTGAATCTCCTCATCTCTATTAACCGCTTAAAATCTCAGACTTTTTATACTAAGGCTTATTATTCAGCAACTACAGGGAAATCAATGCAAACTGGTTGAGCTATTCTTAGGTTATAGAAGTGTGTAATAAAACATTGGGCCTGTAAACAAGCCCTGGCCATTTAGGGGGTTAATAATATACAGCTTCTATAAATACAAATAATCATATTGTTGCTGCCGAAAAAAGACCTTAAATCTGTAATCTTACAGGAAAAGAAAAAAAAAGAGCTTTCAAATTAGGTAAAAAGTAAAAAACAACAAATACAAGGTTTTTTGTTTATTTTTTTAAAAGATAAAATAAGTTAATCTCCTCTACAAAGAACAGGCTTCTTCACGTTTGAATGGACTATTGTTGTTTATTGACCGAATTTAACCAGGGGTCATTCATGTGAGTTAGTTAGCATAGAGGTTGTTAGAAAGCATAGAGGTTGAAGACTGCCCCACCAGTCTCTGTGTCCTTTCTACGTCTGTCCTTTCCTCAAAAAGTGCCACACCTCATCTACTGTGTTTTCAGTTTCAGCAGTGTGAGCCGGAACTTCTTGTCCAAGAATGATGAGCTGCGTAAGGGTGATTATCTGATGTCGAACAATGGAGAGTACAAAGCCATCTTTCAGGTTTGTACCTCCACCCATCACTCCAGCTTGAACGCAGTTTTACCTCAACATCCTGACCCTTCCAAATACTGTGCTACAAATGTATCAATTTGAATGAATGGCAATTTTATGCATGCACAATAACAAAGCTGTGCTGGGTGAAAATACAACATAAGCAATATTTTGCTTCAACCGGTTTAATGCTAATAAAATCCCACAAAAGATTCAATTATTGGAATCTACTTTTTTTTTAAAATTATTTTGGTAAAATTAAGGCTTAATTTAGTACTGATACTAGCAAATCTATGAATTGTTTATTTCTACATGGAGTATTTGAAGTTAAACCAGGAGCTGACAGTGGCTATGCAAATAAAAAATAGGTCTTTTTTTTGACTTGGGACTAATCCTACTTCTTTCAAAATTTTCTCTAAATAAAAACAGTAATGTCTGATTAACACATAAAAAATAAAGTTGTGTTAGGACTCCTTTATAGTTTATTTAAAAAAAAGACATATTTGAAGGAGCAAAGTATGAAAAACAGTACAACTGTAAATGGATTTTCAAAGGAACCTGTATAATGCTTTAGAAAGTCAGTATTGCATTTTGTGCAGTAATAAGTTTATCTCCTTCCTGGCATCTATTAAATACAAGAGCACAGAGGGACTATCCAATATCTAAAACGTTAGCTAGCTTGCATACCAATTTGGGTGCTGCCTCTCAAATATGCTATTTTTTCCTTCTTACTGATACTACCATCTTGTGGTGGATTTGGACAACCGCTAATCCTTTAATAGTTTAAGTATTTGTTTGAATTGTTTGATTACAGATTGTAAGAAACAGTTTTAGTAGTTACGGCAGTTGCAGACCCCCATATTTTGGACATTTGTGCATTTTAAAATTCTATAGCTGGTGTCATTTACCTCTGATTGAATTTTTAAACTGTTATTGTGTAAATTGTTGGCTGTTAAAATTGATAAAATTGCTAACTATTATTTTAAATCAGTTAAAATGTTACTGTACATATTTTACAAAGAGCCCCTATTTGTGTATAGAAATGCCCCTGGATTTCAGTTAGAGGGCAAAAATTGACCAATAACATTGTATTATTATTATTATTATTATTATTATTATTATTATTGTTGTTGTTGTTGTTGTTGTTGTTGTTGTCGTCATTGTCGTTGTTGTTGTTTTTGTTGTTATTATTATTATTACAGTCATATGCAAAAGTTTGATGAGGTCACTCATCAAATGATGTGTCTTATTGTTTTTTCTAAGTGATAATTGAACACATCCTCCACACAGAACACACTTCAATGCATTAACAGTTAATTTGCCGAATTTATGTATAGAGGAAAAAAAACATAAAATGTGGCCTGTGCAAAGGTCATGGTACATTTTATATTATGTTTTATTTTTTCCAATATGTTTTCACTTAGAAAATCCAGGGTGTATTTTGACCATATGCATATATATATATATATATATATATATATATGTGAAATAATATTACAGAGTAGAATCGAGTAACTGAGATACAAAAGAGTGTAACAATGTACAGTCATACATGTTTTGTTGATTTTAAGTGAAAGTTAATTAAACACATCCTACACAGAGAACACACTCTTGCACATTTTAATGCACAATTACTGTTTATTTGCTGAACTTAACATAATGGAAAGTAATTTTACATTGTATGTTTTCCCCCAATACGTTAAACTCAGCAAATAAATAAAAACTGTGAAATTCAAGCGTATTTTGGCTCAGATTGCTTTTTGAATGAGACACAACACAGGGCAACCAATTAGATCAGAGGTAATTTACATACAGTTGTAGGCAAAAGTTTGTGCGCCCCTGGTCAAACAACATATTTTTGTTCGTTTACGAAAATAATTCATCAAAATGCACAAACGTTATGACATATTCATTTATTTCCCCCAATATTAAAAAAGTGCTCTAAAATTAGCATAAAAAATGCACTAAAACTGCCATATTTATTTGCATAGAGTTTGTGAAAAAATATTTTGATATCATATTATGTAATTTGACCAGTGTTGTTCAAACTTCTGCAAATGACTGTATATCACTTTTAACGTAACAGTAACAAACATAGGTGGTTTAATTCAAAGGGATAAAGAAAGATTAGAGAACATTTGGAAAATGATGTAAAAATGAACTATTTTCTTTTTGTTTCTTTTTTTTAACCACACAACTAGACCTCAAGGGGAAAAAACTGTCACAACTAGATTACCAGATAACTAGAAATTGATATGGTCTCTTTGACATATCCCACTCAAAGAGATAATCATCAAGCTAAAGTCAAATAATTCCTATCAAAGGAAAAATGCTCCCCTGACCTTACAAAAGACCGCTCTTAAAAATAATGGTGTTAAAAAGGTGATTTGGAGTGACGCCACAAAAAAACACTTTCCTAAAAAACTTTTCAATTGATGAATTCCAGTTTATTAAATCATTAACTGAACAGTTCTTCAGGGAGCCAAAATTGGTTCTCCTATGGCATCACTCCACAGAACCCTTGTGGCACCTTTATTTTTAAGAGTCAGGGGAGCATATGTGGAATTGTCCATTCTTCCACTAGAGGGAGCCAGACACTTGTTAATTACTTTTCAGTTCAGCGTTCTTGATTTTGATCCTGGGGAAATACTAAACTATGCAGAACCAAAGTGCCTCAGAACCAGGAATTATGACCATTGTGTTAATGGAAGACTCTAGAAGCTTTTATAGCAGGCTTGTAAATTGCAATATAAATTGTAGGGAACCATGGCCCACAGACTAACATGAATATTTTTGTAGTTAAACAGTTTGAGTTGTATGTGTTTTAAGTCATCTTCTTGTATGCCCACAGCAACATCATGTGCAAATTTTGACAGCAATCAGACTGATATTTCTCAATTTATTATACCATAAAATTTACTTTTTTCATCTTGAGTGTTGTTGATTACTGGGTTGTGTGTATATATTATATTATTTTAATCTTCCTGGTAGCTTAATTATATGTCAATTATATGTCAATGACTCTCAGAGAAAGCTAGCCAGGTGAAAGTACAGCCTCCACATGGCGGGGTTAGTTTTAACACAGTGCTACAACTAAGCCTCCCAACGTATGAGAGAAGTCCAAATTCATCCCATATAATTTCAATCTATTTCAATTTTATTGTTCTAATATTTCCTTTTCTAACTTGTGTTCTAAAATAAATTTGCCATAGTTGACACAGTCTCTTTTCACTAATCATAGTTATTCTGATTAATATATTTTTATGCATTTAAGTTGGAAAGCTCATCTGGTTCACACAACATAGAACAGTACTGAATTAATTAGGGCTAACTAGCTTTAAAACCTAAACATTTGGATGTCATTTAGTGTTAATTGGGTGTCTTATACTGAACTAGCTGTGTCAGGTTGAAAATCCAACCTGACCCAGCTAGTTTGTCCATGGACTGAGTGGTCAGATTAGCAGGACATTGCTTTTTCAAAAAGTGCAAGAAAAAAAAAAAAAGGTCCTCTGCTGGACAGTGTTGCCCTCTGAAAGTACTCAAAGTCATGACACTGCTGAGCAATGCTGCTGTCAAGGGACGGGACCTTTTGTTTCAGACAACAAGACAATGACCATAACTCAGAATCAGTAGCACTTTATTGGCCAGAAACACTCACACATGTGTCTTGGTGGAATTTGTGCATGCATAAACTCACAATATAGAATTCATATAGTAAACAAATAATACAAATAAATACATAAAGACATCAGCACCTTCAGTGTAACAAAATATGTATTGACAATATATACACTAAAATATGTGCAAATTGTATTGCAAAATACACTGTATGTCCAAAAGTTTGTGGACACCTGCTGATTAAAAGGTATTAATAGGATGTTTGTCCCCTCTTTGTTGCAGCCTCTACACTTCTGGGAAGGCTTTATACTAAATGTTGGAACATTGCTGAAAGGATTTCATTGAGTTCAGCCATGGGAGCATTAGTAAGGTCAGGTACTGATGTTGGATTATTAGTTCTGAAACACATGGCATCAGCTTTGCATTACTGGCATTACTTCAGAAAAACACAGTTTCACTGCTCCACAGCCTGAAGCTTGGGGGATTTATACCTCTCCAGCTGACGCTTGGCATAGAGCATGGTTTCTTTAGGCTCATGTGCATTCATTCCATTTTCAAAGCTTTTCTACTGGGATTATACAAGCTGTATGTCCAAATGATTTGACTAAATAGAAAGGGTGTATGTCCTCAGTATGAAAGCTAAGAGTATAGGACATTTGCAAAATTATAGATCAGGTTGATGTGATAGTGACTCGTTTATTTATTTAAATTCTTGTTAAAACAGTCATTAACTACAAGTCATTCATTTTTCATTTAATTTTCATTTTCATTCAATTTTCTGAGAAGATTACATATGAAATAATCCTTATGCATATGTAAGGGGAAAGTCAAAGTAAAAATAAGTGAAGTAAGAGGAGTTTCCAAAACATGCTTCAGATCTGATAGATCCACAGGTGCTTCTGCCCATCTTTCCACTGTGAGAAGACTACTCAACGCTAGTCTGAAAGGATGTGTAGCTGACATAAAGCCTCACTGAGAATAGAAAATAGTCAAAAAAAATTGCAAATCAAAGAAATGGAATGTGTTTGGATTATTTGGATTGTGAGAAACCAAAAATGCAACCAACTTCTAAGACTGAACTGTAGAGGTGTGGAGAAGTATTCCTGCACATTTCTTTGAAAAATCGAAACTGAAGAATGGTGTTGGACTTTGCACAGTACTGTGCAGGTGTCTGTCTAGAGAGCTGCAAAAAAAGGCATGCATGTTAAACATCATAAATGTTAATGCTATGATTATGTAAGCATAGGGGAAAATCCTATTATTTTCCAACATAGGCAAGGCAGGGGTGTTGTGGAAAACCCTTGATGCCTTTGTTCTTGTCACAAAAAGTACTGATTTCAAAATAAACAGAAGAAAAGAATAACTGCAAAAAATAGCAATACCTTTAGGGCAAAAAGAACCGTCCTTCTGTTGAAATTCTGTTGAATTGCACACACACACACACAGACACACACACACTCAGTGTAACTGTTTTATGGTTCAGCAGGCAGCACTCCACCCACTATTGCCATAGTTAGAAGTAGTGTGTTTAAACGGAAATTAGGAGCCATATCTAGCTTTACTTTACATGAACTGTAAAGAATACCTACCCACTCAGAGAGTTTCCAATAATAAAGTAGGCCCAGTGCCGTGGAATATCTTAGTTTAATAACATTAATGATGGAAAAGTCAGGAGTGTATGAAATGATAGCATTAATTTCAATCCAGATTCAACCCTTATCAGATCACCATGGTTACACATGTTTTAATGCTTCTTAGTGCTATAAATATTATTGTAGAGAGACAGATTGACGAAAAAAGAAATAAGAAAATAAAGACTTATTTTGTGAGACAGCGGAAACAATAACTCTTGTTCTATCCATAAAACCTGCAGCACTTTTGAACCTGATGTTCACAGCCTGAATCCAAACACACATTATGTCACTGTGTTTTTCGAAAGCAAAGGCTTTAATTGTTCCAGAGATGCTGGAGGACATTAGATGAGTCACTGCTACTCGTTGGAACGTTCAAGCTTGATTAAATGTAACCAAACTTCAGAGATGCTGCAGGGTTCGTGGTCAATGTTCTAGGTGCTGATTCCATTGTGTACTGTGTTCTCAGAACATTCCATATTTTAGCTTTTGCCTTTTAGATCTGTGGAACGTTTGTCTTTATACCTGTGTGCCTTCCTGGTTGTCCCTGTTCTTCTGATTCTTGTCTGTAATCTGAATCCAACACTAAGGAGACTGATGAGTTTTCCTACGCTGATAAGTAAACCTCCAGTCAGCAGTCCTAATAGAGAAATCATGGAGTGAGACTCATGAATCACACATTTTTTCCACATCAACACCCAAGCAGATGGGTCTGTGTAGTCTCATAAATACTGCCCCCTCACCTACGGTCAACATTTTTCATACGGAAGGACACACAGACACACACAAGCATTGACCTAACTAGTAAATAGATGAATATCTCTAATTACATATCTAATCTGACTCAAAGCAAAGCCATAATCTAACTACTACACTCTTAAATGTAAAGGTTTCTGAAGGGATCTTGGCTTAGAAGGTTTGATTGTTATGAAATCTCTACATTATCTGGAGGTTCTTCAAACTTTAAAAAGGCTCATTACACTTGCAGATCTCATTCTTTAATCTTCTCACAGTAACTAAAAAATGCAATTTCCGCTTGTTTTGAAGGAGGTCCTTCAGCTGAACTATGCATTTTCCTCATTTTCTTCAATAATGTTTGAAATATTGGGAGTATATTTTGATGAAAATGTGTATAATTTACAAAAACAGAAGGAAATTGGATTCTCATCTTCATAAGTGAGCAAGCAAGTCAGCATTTTTAAAAGTATTTTTATTATATTTACGTCTTTTTTTTTGTTCATTTTATTATTTTATTCATTTTATTTAGAGCCAACAGCGTCCTAGTTAATTTGATGAAGGGAAAGGACAATAAATCAGTTGATTTCCATTCTGCCACTAGGGCGCCTAAAGGTAGAGGCTACATAATGCTGTTGTCGGAAGAAAATCTTGTATCTCCATTTTTTCAGTTTTTGACATAATTTGAAAATGCCTGTTGCCCTTTACATTGTATGTAAATTTCATGATGAATGGACACAAATAAATGACCCAAAATGACTTGTCAAAATGTCTGGTTTCATTGACTTACATTAAAAGTAAAGTAGGTTTTTCCTTCTCCTGTAAAGTTACCATTTTTGAGACACAAGGTTTTCTTCTGACAACGGTGATAAGCATCCACCCAAAGGCTCTTTAGGGAACAAAGAGTCATTCTTCTATGACACTGCTCTAAAGAACCCTTGTTGGTAGCTTTACTTTCAAAATTGTTACATATTTCATCCTTTGAGAATGAAGTGCAATGTTATAACTAAAATAATTAGCTGTCAACTCATGCCTTTTTTCACATTGCCAGTACATTTGTGTGTGTGTGTAATCAGTGTTCATAATTTTATTTTTAGGGTCTAGACTTAGATGCTTCAATGTTCCAAAAACACATAATTTTTCTCGTACTATACATCTCTGTTCACCCTAGTGTGCCCAGATTGGTCAGCTTGCCCACTCTGTTCTGATTGGTCAACCGCCAGAGTGGCATCCTGCTACAAGTTCTGCTGCTACACTGCTGTGGCTATTCTTACAGTGGTGCTGGATCTGCTGTATCAGTTTCAGCCAGAGTCCAATCCTGAAAGCCTGATCTACCTTCGTAAGCTAATCTGGAGCAGTATGTTTCAGAGTGGTGAGCTTTAACTTTCTAGATCTCTTGTGTGAGTGCATGCCAAGCTTGCCGGTAGGTGAGCAATAAAGATTGTGCTATGATATTGCATCATCTCATAACAAAGGAAAAGGGCTGGAATTCCAATGCAGCATTTTAGGCAGCTGGGAAAAGTGGTTTCTGTGGGATACAGTTACTCCCTCTGGTGTGTACTTTGGGTTTTGTGGCTTTGCAGACCATTTATGTGCCAAGAAACTATATAACACACTAACAGAAAGGGAAAAAAAAGAAAACTATAATAGGTCCCCTTTAAATAATGCATACAGGCACACCTTGCCTTTAAAAGAATTAAAGAGATATTCTTCACACCTGTGGTCTCTAAATGTCCTGTTATTCAGGTGCCACCACCATCTATCAGCATTCTAGTCAGCGACAATTGTGTGATGTCAATGGACATAGATTTTAATTTCGATTTTTTCGATATAGATTTTTTCTAGAGCTTTCTAATTTGCAGAAGTACTTAAAAATGAAAACATTAAAATAAAAGTCATTTGAATGTACATTCTTTCATTGGCTTTAGGAGTAGGGAGTTAGGCAAGTATGGTGGGCCATTTTTCATTTCATCATTTTTCTATCATTTTTCATTTCATTTTCATTCACTGTCATGAAAATACCTTTACATATAACTGCCTATTCAGCCTATAACAGTTTAGCCCTGTTCATTTATGCTGTAAGGAGTGTTTCATACCAGACAGCTTTATGAATTAGGCAGCAAATCAGAACACTTAAAGGCATATTAACAAAAACAGCCTGTTTAATTTTAAGGGTTAAAGATGGGCTGGAAAATAGTTGTATAAAAATGAATTATGAATGTGTTAGGTACATAAACCTACACATACCTCAGGGAATGAATAAAATGCAAGAATAAAGGTAGGATGTGGGCCCATTCAAACAAATGTTTTGATGCCTTCATTACTTTCTTCATTTTTTCATTTTTTCATATTTGGTGTTGTGCACATTTGGTGCACACACACACACACACACACACACACACACACACAAAGGCTCTCTGTGTCTGGGAGAGCAAACAGCCCTTCTTCTCTGTCAACATGACAGCTTTGATATATCTGAACAGCCAGTGACTATTGTTTGCTCTCGATGCGCCTCCCTCTCTGCAACGGCACCATCTGTAACCCAACAATATAACCAAGTGAAATTGATGAGCAACTAAAACAAAGGGCTTGTCACTCCTGAATCATTCTGTAGTAACCTGAGGACTACAGTCTAAATCTCATTCAACACCCACTCACCACCTATAAAAAAATATCTGTTCCACAGAATGATAGCACTGTGCGTTTCTGACAAGGACAGCTCTGAACTCATGACTGTTCCCATATACAGCTACAGAGAACAAGGCAGTAGTGAAATTCATTGTGGCCATGTCTAAAGATAAGGAGAAACAACACAAAACTGCTATGTGCAGCTCAGTCAGCTGTTCTATATGATTAATATGTTTTGTGCTCTTGTGTACAGGAAATAAGGTACAACTACATTCTGCACATCCAGACATGTTACAGTAAGCAAAATAATCAAGGCAGACAATTTACCTACTGCAGATTGTATTCAAAACATAGAGGCATTCAGTATAATTCTTTATTAAATGGATAATTCCAGTTATAAAGTCTGACTGGCTCCATGCTCTAAGCCGTTATATAATTATGCAATAGAATAGGAGAGGGAGTGTGATATCCTGAATGACATCATGGCCTCGAGTGTTCTATTGCTTTTATATAACAGTTCTGCAAAATAAAGAAAAAAGTAAAGCCCTAGTATTGATTATGCTTTAATATTGGCACAGAAAAGGCCACAGTTACAGCCGTATAGCTGTCGCAATATCGAGCTCAGCTCAGTTTTTTCAATATTTGCCAGATTAACATGAATGTATATTGAATGTTTTAGTCAGTGTGTTAAGCATTTTATGGTAACATTTCAGTTTGTTTAGTTGCTTCATCGTCACAGTTGCCGACCCAAAAGTTAGCTTAGAGGGGAACAACAGGTTTGGAATTTGATATAGACCTGCTGCCTCCTCTTTAGAATCTGACCGAACGAGCTGCAGGTCAAATATTATATTACAGAAATTACCTAATGTATCCATTTTCAATTTTCTGTGCTAATGTAGTGTGAGGTGAGTTATTACTCAGCAACTGGTGCTCAGTGGATTGATAAAATTGCTGTGGAAAAAAGTGTAGCTATTACAGATTAGCACACCAGTGCCAATATCTCACTGTATAGCAATGAATGCGTTTACATGCTCTTAATAATCCAATAACTGCAGAGAAGCAGATTTTGTCAGTAATCCGATCAACAAGTTTACATGCACGTGAGTAATCAGATAACGGAAAACTCTAATCATTTCTAATCATTTATAACTGATGTAGATCCAGAGTTTTCTGGGTCTACATGTAGATCTCATGTAGACCCAGAAAACTCTGGGTCTACATCAGTTATAAATGATTAGAAACCACAATTTTAGTAAGATCTGAAAAACAATTAACCCATCCTTCATAGACCTGAAAAACACTGAACCAACATTTTGCCCTTCTGCCCCTTTAAGTAATATTTAGAAGACACATTTACCCTTGCACAGGCATTGGCACATGACAAGGAAGTTTGCTCAAGCAGCTTGCAAACGGATGCAGTGGAACTGCAATTGGTTTTATGTCCCAGCTGGATGGAAAGCTGAGCCAGGTGGCCTGTCAGTCTGAGCTTTTCTGAGCTTCCTTGCCAATGGATCTTTTAATGGTCTGCTCATTTGGTACACACTTTTAGCTGTGATATCTTGCTGATTTGTGTTATACTCATGCTGGGGTGCTAAAGAATCGCTGCTCACAGGTGATCTTAGTTTGCTCGGAAAAACAATTTTCCCACCAGGAGGCACCACATGAACACCCTTTAAAGGTAGATGATGAAATCAAGCGAAAAGAAATTTTTGATGTACAACAAACTAGCTGAACTGTGACGTCGACGCTATTTTCATCATGGCCCGGGAAATAAGTGAACAGTCTAGTCAAATAACACTGTACTAATTGTGATTCATTTCAGTTGTATAGCACATTTTAAGCATGTACAGGTAACCCACATTTTTTTTCTTCCATGTTTGTGTTCAGAAACACCTGTAAAATAGGCTAAAGTCAACAGACTCCAGCTGATAGTTAGAACTACAATAACCATTTCACAATCTCCCTGCTTTTTCCTTCCCACATGAACCACACGAATACGCAAGTTGGGTGAACGGGTTCTTCGGAGGAGGAAACTGCCATCCGAAAAGCAACAGATGAACTCATGGTTGACGGATTCAAGGACAGAGAGGAAGTCAGTTCACACAAGGCAGCTGCTTTGAGTCTTAGAAGGCAGCATTTTGATTCAAAGCTAACTGTAAATGAATGGAGTTTAAGGCAACATTAAAACTGGGCATTTCTACCATTAATAGATATCTAACTGTTTTGTAGAGGCTTAAAAGTAAAAAAAAAAATGTTTGCCATGTGTTAATATAATTTTCCAGAAGAACTTCAAAGTGCAATGAAATAGACCATTAAAGGGTTAAGTGAGCAGCTGGAACACCTGGACCAATCAGCATCCTTAATCTCCTCAGTCCCTTTCACTGACAGTGAGGTGGAGAGCTGTAAGTAAAGGTGAGTCAGAGTGAAAATGGGACAGACACACTGCTCCCAGCCACGTACAACCACAGTGCACCGCATGGATAGAAGCTCTCTCTATCCTCTCCACAAGCACTTTGTTACAGGACAGCCCGTCTGTAAACACATCTGACTCACACCTTGCACTGCTCTGATGGCAGTCAGCGACTGTGTGCGTGTGTGTGTGTGTGTATTAATGATGCATAACCTAAAGAGAGCATAGTGTGTGTGTGTTTCAAGGGCAGGCATGAGGGAAGACTAGTAAACAAGGCTGTTGCTTTTTTTTTTAATGCTTTTTATCAGCCTAAGCTTGAGAAAAAAGTGACTCAGAGGTGAGTTAAATGCTCAGACTGGTTGGAAGATGGGAAGAGTTACTGCGAAGAAAAGGCACATATCCTGGAAAACAATTTTCCATCCATTTTTTTAAAAAAGTAGCTTGATGTAATACATAAACATTGCTAAGAATCAAATTATACCATTCACGCCGGAGTCCATACAGTCCAGGTTTGGAAATTAAGCTGTAAAAAACAGCCTGTCAGTGCATTTATATCTATTCGCCTTCAGGCTACAGCAGTTTAGCCCCGCCCACTCACACTGAAGTTATAAGGAGTGTTTCTTGATTAATGTGTTTACTGCAAAAATTTCAGTAGAAAATGTCCACTATAATGTAACGTGTTAGTAAATGT